ATAAAACCATGTTCAATGATGCCATAACATCATGTTCCATGATACATTAAAACCATGTCCCACGACGCCACAAAACCATGTCCCATGATGCCATAAAACCATGTCCCATGATGCCATAAAACCATGTCCCAGGATGCAAAATTCTGAATGAAGCTTCAAATTGTCAATACATCTGATACTTGTTCATTAAATGCTAACGTTATTTCCTATTTTTCTCTCTATCGCTTAAATATTTCCCTTTTCCGCCATTTTAAATTATTATTTTGTTTTTATTTTCTTCTATATTATTTTCATTTTGTTTTTAAATTTTATTTTGTTATATTTTTTCTTGCTTTTAACTTTCATGCATTTACGCTGCTTTTAATTCAGACCACATCAACAGTTCAGAACCGAAACCAGCAGTCGAAGAAAACGCAATCGAAACGAAGAAAACGAACAAAAGGCCGCAGGAGACGAGGAAGAAAAAGAACAACTCAATTGTAAGGCGAAGAAGGCGACGAAAGAAGGAAAGGAGGCGATGGAGAAGAAGGAATCGAAAATCGGAAAAGAAGCGAGAGAGAATACAGAAACAAACACTGACAGCGTAACAGTTATATTGCCCACTATATAAGACTTGAATATTCTCCAAACGATGTGATTAAGTGACTATAGGTGGCGCTGCACCATATCTGCACAATACGTGAATTCAATTTCGCGATTGATAGAGGGCGTATTGTTAATGATGAACAGACTTAGAGTTTGTCACCAAAATGCATCGTTCCCCGAAAACACTGCCCCCTAGAGTCGTAATATTAAGCGACAAATACTCTCCAAACGTGAATATATATACGTTGTTTTTTTTAGTTTGTTTTTGCTAATTTCAAAATTACATGAACTCTGTCATTTTCTGACGTATTTCCCATTATGAAGGCTGATGAGACATGGATGTTTAGGCTTAATTTAAAGGGTTGGACTTATATATTTCCCTCTGCTAACACAGCTGAGGGTCAGTTGTGATTATTGACCTTAATGGCGATCGTACTTTACTGGTTAACGTTAAAATTGCAAAAGCAAAAAAAAAAAAAAAAAAAAAAAACATCCAGTTATTGATTCAATAACACTCGCCTCGGTCTCATAAATCAAAAAATCGTTTTCACGTTGATGATGTTAACATTGACAGCATTTTACTTGTAATAAAGAAGTGATACTTGCTGAAAAACGGTGTTTATTTAATGATAACTTACTGTACATCTGTGATGGCGTTGAATGTAAATAAAGGTAATTATTAATCGTTGTACCGGTATATTTATTGCTAGTTATATGATCCTTTATTGAGTACCTTCATTATTTTAAAGGAGACAGGAGTTATTTAGGAAAATGTCATTGTTCTGGATGTCAGAAAAGTATGTTAAAGAAAAACACTTGATAACGTAGTTTAGGAACGATGGATAATTCTCTATCGAGAAGGGAACTTTGCCTCATTTATGCCTTAAGTAGTGAGAAAAGGAACGTGTTTTGGGAGACCTGACAGTTGTCCTCACTTTTGTTATCAATAATTACTGTGAAATAATAGTTACAAATACATTGCGGACACAAGCGAAATTCAAACTTATGACACGGCAAATACGCTGTCCTTCCAAGAAAAGTTCTTTGGGAGTTTGTAAAGTTTTCCCTGAAGAGAGGGGGGTGTCTCACTTATGTCATAAAAAAGGAGTGTAACATAAATTGCGTTGGAAGGCCGGAGAGCTCTCTGTGAGGAAGAAAAGTGGTCTCACTCAAGTAAGTAGTGTGAAAATGAAAGTCCTATGGGAGGCTGGACTGTTTTCCGTGGAGGGGGAAAGTTGTCTCAGTTATGTCATGCAAAAGTATTAAAACATAGAAATTGCATTCGTAGGTTTGGCCGTTTTCCACATGTTATGAATAAGTAGTGCGAAAACGGAAAGTCCTTTGTGAGGCTAGACAGTTCTTAGTGAAGAAGGAAAAGTTGTCAAAGACCTGTAGTATAGAAACGAAAGTCCTTTGAATTCCTGAACAGTTTTCTGTGAAGGGGGGAATGTAAATAGTGTGAAATAGAGCGTCCTTTGGGAAGAGAAAATGACTTTTAATTGTTGGGAAAACAAGATTAGTAAGCATGGAAGCTACTTATGTAATTTGGAATTGGACAAATGTTATTCGCTCTAGTAGTTGACGGTGAGCGTATCAATCTAATTTCGGGAGTTCAAAAATGCTGTTCGTTCAAGGCAACACATTTGTTTGCAATGAAAGAAAGAAAAAGAAAATTAAAAATTGCAGAAAAAGGTTGTTTGAGAAAATGAGTCTTTCTGCCAAGGTGTCCGGGAAAACATGAATAAGCGTTTTTAATGCTTTGTGGTAGGCAGCCCTATCGCGACCTGGATTTAGTGTGTTGTTATCGTCGCTTGGAACTCAATTCCCGCGCATGCGCAGGTGGTCACCCTCCCGCTTAAACTGTGCAGACATAATATCAGGATGGTGAAATTTGACGAGGAGTTATATGGGGAGCTTCAACTTCTGGAATCATATCTCTGACATGTTTATGTTTGAACCATATAACTATAAACAAAACTATACATCTTAAGTTTGATAACTAACGGGGACTGTGCCATGCATGGATTGTACTTTTATCTTCACATCGTAATTATTTGTCATTTTTATATTGTTCTTTCATTATATGTACGTTATTATTTCATTCTTTGTTTTTTCAGATTGTTTCAACAATATTCTATCATTATTGGGTCAAGTTACTTTATTTATCAATTGTTACGTCATTATTGTATTATCATTTCCCCCTTATTGTATACATTTTAGATTATTGCTGTATCACTTTTTCTCTATTTGTATATTACTTCATTTTCATGTCGAACGTCATCATTTTATCATTATTAGGTCACTTTTACATTTTAACATTTTTTTTATATGTTCACGGTTTCAACATTATATAATTTTTATTGTGTTATTTGACCACGCTTACATTATTTACAGTATGTAATGTCTTTATTCGTGTATTTTACTATTTTTCAATATTGTTATATAATTATTGTAACATGTCTTATTGACTCCACATGACCATAAGAATTATTACAGTACACACCCGGTTTTATATTCATATTTATTTGAAAATTGAAAACTGTTAAAGTAGTGAAATTGAAACATTTTCGAACACTGATTGATTGACAAGCAATTTTTCACAAAGCGCAACATGACTATGTTAGGGGGTCTTCTAGTCCTTTTGAAAATGGCAGCAAGCGAGAATGAGGTAATTTTGAAGGAGACGCTGTGTTGTGTCGTCAAAGGATGCTCTGTCTCAACATGATGTGAAAAAAATATCGGCCAGTAGATTTTTAAAATGGCGGCAGGTGGTAGTGGGGTCGGGACGGCTATGGACATCGCGTAAGCTAGCCAGGCATTACGAAATGCAATGAATATTTTAGAATAAGTCGCTGCCATTCGTAGCGGGTGTTACAACAGTCTCAAATCGATCTTTGGATGGTGCCTGTGTTCATAGACGGTCGGATATTTCAAACACCACACGCGATGAAATGCGGGCGAACTTTGGTAGAGTTCTATTTCTATGAATATATCTCCACCACGCGATCGTATGCTTGTCGTTGATTGGTTGATGCGTCATAGTGGCACTACTTTCAAAGACACTCAACAAAACATTGCCATGCTACGCGAATGTGTACGCGTTGTTTGCAGATTCTGGCCGTTTTTCAAAGTTAGAAGCTTCTTGTTTTCTTTCTGTAGCACAAACGGTGTAGCATTAGAACGATTTAGTCGTCAATAACGAAGTGCTTTCGTTAGTTTATAATTCTTCGCCTGGTAATCGAAAGGATGGTCAGTTTGATGAACCGAGTAACACCTTAGTAACGGTTATTCCGCGATGAAATTATTTTCTTTTGTAAATTATAACTATTACACCCTTTAGAGTGCGTTTTACGAAAAAAATATTTTAAAACTTGTTTATCAGTATAAATAAATCAACACGAGATCCCTCTCATAACAAAAATACGCAAATAATTGGTGTAGTAAAAGTCTTGCGGTGTTTCACCACAAATTGGCGGTTTGTGGTGGCAGAGATACTTTCGCATTCTCTACCATCGGTTACCGCAGGATGGCGCGTGACCCTGCGGGAGCTTTGTTTATCACCGTGTCCACCTGAAGAATATATACAGGTGCTTAGAGGACCAATTTGAAATCATGTGGAATGACTGGATGAGTGTGATTAATGTTGCAGTGTCTGTACACTAAGCATGTAACATTTTTTCACTTGGTGTCTGTCTTGAATTTCAAATCAGAAATATAGCATCTGAAGCTGGAAAAAATCCGGAGGACAAAATCCTGGTAAAACAAAATCTGCAGTTATGCTAGAATATTATAAAATTATTATATTTACACATGTGTACATGTTTTCAACGCTCTGACACAGACTGTATTGATCGTGTTTGTAAACAATGACACGCTATGGCCATCTGACGCATGCGCAGGTGACGACTCCCCCGCTTTGTTAATCAAATAATCTCTTACAATATCAATATGTCCATCATCCTGCATCCGTATACTCACACGTATACCATACAAATACCCAATCAGTCTAACCTCAGTATATTTTACGGATAAATCAGTATGTGTTTGAATGTTGATCAATTACAACAAACTAGTCATTTGTGATTTGCCTGAATTGATACAAAATTATTGACACCTAGCCAAACAGATACCTGGGAATATTTTGCTTGTGATAAAAAGAAATTATGAGACAAGGATCTTTCATTCAGTCAATTTTAATTTTCATGGAAAAACAGAGTTGTGATGCATTGACCTAATCGATAACCCTGTGCTGTTCACAAAGCAAACAAGTACACGGCAGTGTTGTCATTTGGCAAATATTACGCGATATGTATGAATTGAAATTACTTGATGGCAGGTAATTCCAAATTATACCAAGATTGGTATGTCAATGACCAGGGACGTCGTAAATATAAAAGTGGTTGCAACGTTGCATTATTAAGCCATATTTGTCGCTGGGTTTTAAATACGTCCGACCAAAAGCGTTGATGAATTTGAATACACAATAACCCCTATATAACACATTTTCTATGACCCAATGGCACTATAGGATTGTGTTACCATAACCACCACTTTTAAAAGAGTTGGTTTGGAGACACTACCAAAGACTTTCATACTCTATATTTAGGAGCTGATTAACAGAAAAAACGGGGAGAGGTATTGTGGAAAAAATGTACATTTCCTTTACTCACTTACATTTTAGAATGATCTGTTGCAGTAATGACGTTGCAGTGTTCTTTTTGCCTAATGTGTGTGCGTTTTTCATATTTGTTATGCTATTTTTCTCTGCGTTGGCATTTATCCAAACCAACCATCTCTTTACCCATATATTCTAATGATCAACCCCGTACTTTATGATCATGCTACAAATTAACCAATTATCCTGTACAATGATAGATACGACCACCGTACTGCCTATGAGTCTAATTTTTTGTTCTCTGCTGCAAGGTAAATAAATACATCATCTTGCTTCCGTATGTTTATATATCAGCATGTTTTTGGACACAATATCAATATTGGAGTCAGCCGTTAAATCGATTCGTCTGAGTTGAATTTGTTTTATTGACACCAAAGCAAACAATAACCTCGGTATATATCACTGATATACTTCAAGTAGGAATTTGATTCGCCTGAATCGAAAACGTGTTATCGACACCTCAAATAATAAACTAGGGAAAATTCTGCTTGTGATAAAAACAAATTTGGAGACACATTTCATTTAGTTAATCTTAATTTGCACGATCAGAACAGAGTGAAACAAACTTTACTCACATTGACTGACATTGCAATACATTGACATAATTGATAACCCTGTGCTGTTTACAAAGCAAACATGTACACGGCAGTGTTGTCATTTACAACGTGATACATATAAGTTGGAGTTACCTGATTACACAATATGTAAATTTAAATTATACCAACGTTGTAATGTCAATTGCCATCGTCGTAAATATAAATGTAACCTGTACTGTTTATTTTTTTCACAATGTAAGAGCCTGCTGATATAGTGGCCACTGCTTTGGTCATATAGGCGTTGATGAAATCTGGTGTCAATTACACTATGAACTCTCTATATATGATATGTTACCATAACTACCACTAAGTACTCCATGTTTAAGGGTTGGTCATCACAGA